TGGCATCCCCCCTTCTTCTTACAACACTCAACAGACGTCTGGGGACAGAGGAGACCAGTTTCTCAAGTTTAGAAATAGGAATGCTCTCCCATTCATGTCTAATACAGGCCTCTAACTGTTCAATCGTCTTGGACCTTTGTCGCACCTTCCTCTTTATGATGCACCAAATGTTCTCTATAGGTGAAAGATCTGGATTGCAGGCTGGCCATTTCAGTACCCGGATCCTTCTCCTACGTAGCCATGATGTTGTGATTGCTGCAGAATGTGTTCTGGCATTATTGTGTTGAAAAATGCAGGGTCTTCCCTGAAAGAGATGACGTCTAGATGGGAGTATATGTTGTTCTAGAACCTGAACATAGTTCTCTGCATTAATGGTGCCTTTCCAGACATGCAAGCTGCCCATGCCACAAGCGCTTATGCAACCCCATACCATCAGTGATGCAGGCTTCTGAACGGAGCGTTGATAACAACTTGGGCTATCCTTGTCCTCTCTGGTCTGGATGACATGGCGTCCCATTGTTCCATAAAGAACTTCAAATTGGTGACTCATCTGACCACAGAACAGTCTTCCATTTTGCCACACTCCATTTTAAATGACCCCTGGCCCAGTGCAAACGTCTGAGCTTGTGGAGCTTGCTTAGAAATGGCTTCCTCTTTGCACTGTAGAGTTTCAGCTGGCAACGGCGGATGGCACGGTGGATTGTGTTCACTGACAATGCTTTCTGGAAGTATTCCTGAGCCCGTTCTGTTATTTCCTTGACAGTGGCATTCCTGTTTCAGGTACAGTGACATTTAAGGGCCCGGAGATGATGAGCATCCAGTAGAGTTTTACAGCCTTGACCCTTACGCACAGTGATTATTCCAGATTCTCTGAATATTTTGATGATGTTATGCCCGGTTGATGATGATAACTTAAAAGTCTTTGCTATTTTACGCTGGGTAACACCATTCTGGTATTGCTGCACTATCTTTCTGCGCAACAATGGTGGAATTGGTGATCCTCTTACCATCTTGGCTTCTGAGAGACACTGACACTCTGAGAAGCTCTTTTTATACCCAATCATGTTGTCAATTGACCTAATTAGTGTTAATTGGTTGTAGATGAACAGATGCTGAGATATATTCATCAATTAAAACGGATTCTTCATTTTTCTGGACTGAATATAAATGTGCATTGAATTTAATGAAATGTGGACGTGAGACGTTAATTATCTTTGACTCACCACGACAGTGGGTCATTTATTAACAGAATCAAGTTTAACACATCAAACATTTACATTAATTTGGCAAAATATGAAAATAACAACATAATTAATCAGCGAGCTGTACAATTATGATCAATTATCCACACGGCGGTGGATGAGCACTTTACACAGACATTTCTAAAAATATCTGTCAATGATTTCTACTTGATAGAAGAATTTTTAAAGATGGAAAGATGAAGTTTAGTGGGAGTGAAAGATGGATGAGGGAGAATGTGGTGTGTATGAGTGAAAAGTGTTGACAGGACGACACCCTCCATCCGACCCAGCTTTTCCTCGGTACGCTCAGTAGTGGACTAGACTCATTTACCTCTCTGACGATGAATCAGAAGAAGAGGAGCTCCAGTTAACGCTACCTTTCAGCGTCTCCATAGGATGGCTGTGACTCGTCCGAAGTAGTGACGATATCCCGTCTGACACAAGTTCACCTCAGCCAGTGGACCTCACATGAGTGGGGTTCGTCCGAGTTCCACTCAGAGGTGAAGATGTTATAATCCCATAAAACTCAGAAGAGCTCTATCATGTCAGGGTTTTCCGGTTTCCCAGCCAGACTCCAACAGAACTTCACAGAACTCACAGAACTGAGAACTGGGCACATCACAGAACTGCCACTTCACCGAACATCTCCGAACTGCTACCACACAGAACTGCGAGAACTAGGAAGTACCGACATTTTAAAGAGGCTCTATTTCCGGTTCATTTGGGAGTCTCTGATTGGTCAATGTCAACCCGACAGGGGTGTGTTTTGTGACGTAAGAGGTTACTAGAAGTCAGAAAACAGCAAGAATTGTTATGGAACAGATTAAAAATGTTCTCAGAGACAGAGAGAGAAATGTTTGGGCGAGTTTGGAGAAACAGGTGCCAACTTCTCTGTTGACGTCTGAGAGGATGTAAAACAACGACCATTCGTTCCAACAACTTGTCTGCTTCGACTCCTGACCTTGGAAAACGTACACTGCTCATTCAAAGACAGAAATCAGAAAATGCATAATTACTCTGTAACAGGCCTTAACATGAATTCTACTTTGCATAAGCAACTAAAAAATCATTGTTACTGTTTTATAGTTAATAAAATTGATTAGTTCCCTGTAACATCTAAAATGTTTGAACTAAAACACTTTGATTATCAAACATTTGTAAAACAGTAATGATAATAGAAAAGAGAATGTTCTTTCACTTGAATTTTCAAGAAAGAAAGTCTCAGGATGGGTGAACCTGTATTTCTGGATTCAAATCAATGAAATGACAGTTTCTGTCCCACAAGGTTCTTAAGGTCAAGGGTTTTGACCTTAGGTCAAGTTCACTACATGGTCTTCCAGCTGTTCGTTATTTGCACAATTTCCTTTTTCCAGCCACTTATTGCTACTTGTCCCAACTTTTTGGGGATTTGATGACACTGTGAAATTTTGAATCAACGTATTTTTCCGTTAAAATGTTACATTTACTCAGATTAAACTTTTGATCTGTCATCTATTTTATATTGCGAATAAAATATTGACATTTACCATCTTCACATCATTGCATTCAGTTTTTATTCACAATTTGTTTAGTGTCCCAACTTTTTTGGAATCCGGTTTGTACTTGGTCTCATTGACCATATATATCAATCTTTGACTCACCTGACCATTAAACTTTTCTCCAGAAGACATTTGGCTTGTCCATATGGACAGCTGCAGGTTTCAGTCCAGCTGGAGCAACAACTTGTTTCTTGGTCAACTCCCTCTCAGTCCATGGGGATATAAAACTGATTTCACTCTGCACAGGAACATTGGTGTTCCATGAGTTTCCAGTTCATGGAGGATTGAACTGGTGCTTCCTGGGCTGTTCCTGAACATTAGAACAAAATGTCTTTAATTTGACAGAAATAGTTTGGTTTTTTTTCCAGACCTTATAAATGTGTTGTCGCATGTGAGAAATGTGTATTTACATATAGTTCTGTGAACTGATGATTTTGGAATCTCAAGTTTCTCTGCAGTGCAAAAACATGTTTTTAAAGAAGTTCAGAGTCAGTACATGGATTCCTTTCTCTTTTCATTTTTGATTTATGCATATATGCATGCATGTTTGTATGTATGTAGGTAGGTAGATGCGTTCGTGCAGGTAGGTAGGTGTGTATGTATGATTTATTTGTTTTTATTTATTTTTCAGATGAAAGGTGGCATGGCGGCGTGTCGCCGGTGGCTCAGAGGGCGAAGCCTGTACTTCTCCAAACTACTGACAAGTCGCACCCGCTCTCGATATTTCTTCCTGGCATACCTGCTCATGATACATGTGATTGCTGTCTTGTGCCTCACTGGTTATTTGTAGTGAAACTCTTCAGTTTGGCTAACAGTCTAAATGTTTTTCATTTTGGTTTCTCGGTCAGTATGTTAACAACACTCAAACCAGCAGTTATGGTAGTTGGGGATGCTTCATGTTCACACAAACAGTAATGTTTCAGTCTGTTCATGTCACCTTTACTACAAGATGAGACAACAGTTTGGTGCTTTCCTGAAGTTTTTCATCACCTTGTGTAAACGGAAGCTATTACAAGGTGTTTACGGTTCATTTTTTGTTCACACTTTAGGTTTTTTCCTTGAAATGTAAGTGCAAAACAAGCCTTAAAGTATTTTTTCTAATCCCTTTCAACAGAAAAAAACAGTGGATTCCTTGATTTGTTTTAAATTATTGGAATTATTTATTTATTTTTCTTAAAAGAACTTCAGAAAATGAACCCCTGCTTGTTTGGCTTAACCTGATTATGTAAACGTTATATCTAGTCTACATGAACATCAGTGAACGACTCCTGTTTCCATCTCTGTTGGCTTCCTGAGCAAACACATACACAAACACATGCTGTTCCACTCACCTGCCTGATGTCACAAATTGCACATGAAGCCTATTTCAAACTATGCACTGAAACTCCCGATGTGGCTTTGAGGCACTGAATCTCTTTCACTCAGCTCCCTTTAAAGCCAAAGCAGTCTGTACTCACACTTTGGTAGATAAACTGCTTCTTCACCTCTTAATGTTACTGGGAGATAAAAACTAAACAAAAAACTTGTGCATCAATGTATGGCATTTAAAATATCCTGCACAAACTGTGTACTGGTATTTAAGATTTTCCTGTATTAATGTGCTTCAAAAGAGTTGGTTGTACATTTTATGTATATTGCATATGCATTTCTATTCTCTCTGGCTGACTGTACTTTTATTTTTTTTTGATTGTTTAGAATAAAAAAATCTAAGAGTAGAGATTGTGACTTAAAAAAAAAGATTATTTAGTAAGCTGCCGTTTTACTTAAATGACGCTATAAAGCAGGGCTATTCAACTGGCAGCCCTCGGGTGACTTCAGTTCAGCCCACAATGACTTCATAATTTAATTGTTTTGTTTTTTTTTGGGGGGGGGAGAGATTCTGTTTATTGCATTTATAATTCAATGCAATAAAACAAACAAATTTAAAAGGTAACAGATCGTTGTAATACTTGGTTTATTTACGTAATGACTAATCAATCAACATCAGAATTTTGGAGAACTATTAAGTGAATAAAAGCAAATAACGGATCGTGATGGAGATATGAAAGGTCTCAGATGTTTTTCACTTACAGAAGTCAAATGTTATAACTCATATTACCATGTGTTACCATGTGTGTGTGTTAGTCATTTTGTCTGGATCAGAGTGCTGCAAGAGGCTGCAGGGGTTGACTGACCTTGCCTTTTTATGATAACTTATATAAAAAGACGCTCTTATAGGCTATCGTGAGTAGACTTGGGATGGATCGTCATGTAACATTTTGATGCTTGTACTTTCAACACTGCTCCAACTTGCTACATTAAACCTGGGAAGAAAGAATATTATCTGCCTCTCCTGTGTGGCATATTTAATTAATGAGCTATTGAAAGGATAACATTAAATGACCCTAACAGAATATCTAACAGCCAGGTAAGTCCACAAGTCAACAAAAAAATGACACTTCTTACTTCCTCATATTCAAAGTAATGGCATTTGACATCCAGGTCTAAATTCTCTGACACATAAATCATAGAAATCTTCATGACTTTTGTCCATAAAATCTGTGTAATCTTGTCGTGCCATTTCCCCTCATGTTTTCCCCCCACACCACAGATGGGACATTTAGTGTGTATTGGCTGTTTTTTTGCATTATATCTATCTGATACATTATATCTATCTGATACATTGTATCTATCTGATATGTTTTGCTGATCTTGTCAGATGTGGTTGCATGGTGAAATTTAGTGCTTGTGACCCGACCAGCCCTATGGATGTGCCACTCTCTTGACATTGACTGTTGTCGGGTTACAGCTTCCAGTCTTTCACACTGATAGGGCTGTAGTTTAGTTTTTATTCTCTGAAATGTTTCCTCACATTTCACCTGCAGTTCCTGAGGTGTGAGGTCTCTGAATGATGTGCTAAATAAAGAGTCAAGGGCTCTGGTAAAGATGGATGTTTGTCTTCGTCGTCAGAAGATGCAGTGTCCATGTCACTAAATATTCTCCAGACTTGACAGCAATGCAACATCTGGGTCCACAACTTGCAGCTCCAGAATGCCATCATTTGTCAGCACTGATAAAAAGCATGGCAAAGAAAATGTATTAGAGTACAGAGCAGTAATTCAAAGCTAGCAGCAGCAATGCATATTAAATATCATGCCAATGGAACAGAGAGAAACAACAATAACAACAAGAGGAAAGCGAGGACAAGGATAATTATGCATACCTTCCATCTTGGTCTCGGGTTTCTGAATTTGTTTAGTGTATACAAACATAGAAGGCATGAAATCAGGACTCTGCTAGTCCAGCGATGCCTCCCTTGTAAAGGAAGCACACGCGTTCACGTTTGTTTATTAGCAACTAGCTAACAGCTATAAATTGTGGGTCTACGCTTTACAAACAACTCTTGATAACGAGTTTCTATTGAAATGAAAGTATAGACACATAGTCTTACCTGATATAAAATGGGCACTGCAGACCCGTGCATTGTTTTATAGTATCGCTCAGTTCAACCACCCGTTTGAAAGCCTGAAACCACATCTGCCTTTGGTGGCTCTGAAACGGTCGATTACCCCTTGAATTTATGCCCGTCCTGTAAATACCGATACGAACAACTGTAAATTAAACAACCTGACATTTTGATTCTGGTGGTGGTACTTATTTAGCGTTAGATTCTGTGTTATGTTGGAAGACTGCCTGGGTTTACCATCCTAAGCAGTACTTCTGTTGCCACGATGTGCGTGCAGCCATCTTTGTGTACTAACACTGAATGGGTCTATACCATACATGGTAATACAAAATGTGGCCGCCACAACCCAAATGAGTGTGCATCTGATAAACACCGGGATCTAAACACCTGTGTGTGTATTTGTGTGTGAGCATGCTTGTCACCATAAAGTTTCTCCATAGAATTTATCTTTCTGATGTTCTCATTCATACGGAGTTCGTCACTCTGAAATTGCTTGTTGCAGAAAACACCTGCTTTAAAAACAATCCAACTCTGCTCTCTTGTGGCGTTATGTGCACATCACATCATACATTTAAAATAAACTGCATTGTTGCTCAATAGCAGTGGCGACTCGTGATTTTTTCCATGGGGGGGGGGGGGGGACTACTACACAGAAGGAAAGAAAGCATTTCTTCTTAAATTTGTTATACATTATATTTGTCTGTGAAACCCAATGAATCCAATCAGCTACTTAGACTACAAGCATGTCTTAAAGACATAAAAACCTGGATAACATTAAATTTTCTGATTTTAAACACAGTCAAGACTGAGGTTTTAGTTTTTGGACCTGAGCACCTTAGGAATAAATTTTTCAGTCTTTCTCCCTCCTTAGATGCATTAATCTGTCCTCCAGCTCTAATATTAAAAATCTTGGTGTTATTTTTGATCAGGACATGTCTTTTATCCCCCACATTAAAAACGTTACTAGAACCTCCTTCTTCCACCTGCGTAATATCACTAACATTAGAAACATCTGATCTAAAGATGATGCAGAAAAACTGGTCCATGCATTTGTCACATCTAGACTGGACTATTGCAATGGTTTATTATCTGGGTGTCCAAATACTTTTTTAAAACGTCTTCAGTTGATCCAAAATGCTGCTGCCAGAGTCTTAACTGGAGTTACTGGGAGAGATCATATTTCTCCAGTTTTAGCTTCTCTCCATTGGCTCCCTGTCAAATCCAGAATAGAATTCAAAATCTTACTTCTAACCTACAAAGCTCTCAACAGCCTAGCTCCATCTTATATTACAGATCTTATTGTTCCATATTTTCCTAACAGAGCGCTTCGCTCTCAGACTGCAGGTTTACTTGTGGTTCCTAGAATTTACAAAAACAGAATGGGAGGCAGATCTTTCAGTTATCAGGCTCCTCTCTTGTGGAACCAACTTCCAGTTTCTGTCTGTCAGGCTGATACATTATCCAGTTTTAAGACTGGGCTAAGACTTTCCTTTTTGCTAAATCCTATAGGAAGAGGGTCACCTGCATCATGAAGGACCCCACTCACCCAGCACACTTTTAGCCCGTTCCCTTCAGGAAGGAGGTTAAGGAGCATTAAGTTACTTAATCACTTCACCACTTGCTCTTGCCGAGATCGGACACTTCTCCCTTCCCCTCCCTCTCCGCTTTGCTTTGCTGCTCCGTCTGTCTGTGAAACTGCTTATGAGACTCTCTTGCATGTCTTCCAAACCATAATTATGGACTTGTTTTGATCAGTTGGTCCCTCAACTCAATTTACAACATTTCTTCGAAGAGAAGACAGGTTTTAGGCGAGCCGATTTGCCCTGTTGGCACGCACGCAGCTGGATATCTCATCGACTTGGAAGACTTGATGATGTGTCTATCTGCTGCCATTTGTGGATTTTAAGGACGCATATTTAATTGGATTTACGATAACTGGTTCCTGCTTTTTGGATTCGGCTGATTGCTGGTTTAACAGTGCCTTGCAAAAGTATTCGGCCCCCTTGAACTTTTCAACCTTTTGCCACATTTCAGGCTTCAAACATAAAGATATACAATTTTAATTTTTTGTGAACAATCAACAAGTGGGACACAATTGTGAAGTGAAATGAAATGTATTGGATGTGTAAAACTTTTTTAACAAATAAAAAACTGAAAAGTGGGGCGTGCAATATTATTGGGCCCCTTTACTTTCAGTGTAGCAAACTCCCTCCAGAAGTTCAGTGAGGATCTATGAATGATCCAATGTTGTCCCAAATGACTGATGATGATAAATAGAATCCACCTGTGTGTAATCAAGTCTCCGTATAAATGCACCTGCTCTGTGATAGTCTCAGGGTTCTGTTCAAAGTGCAGAGAGCATCATGAAGACCAAGGAACACACCAGGCAGGTCCAAGATACTGTTGTGGAGAAGTTTAAAGCCGGATTTGGATACAAAAAGATTTCCCAAGCTTTAAACATCCCAAGGAGCACTGTGCAATCAATCATATTGAAATGGAAGGAGTATC